TATGGAGGCAGTGACAGATTTTACTTTCTTGGGCTCCATGATCACTGCAGATGGAGACAGCAGCCACGAAATTAAAAGATGCCTGCTTCATGGGAGGAAAGCGATGACAAACCTCGAGAGCATCTTAAAAAGCAGAGACATCACCTTGCCAACAAAAGTCCGCATAGTCAAAGCTATGGTTTTCCTAGTAGTGATGTATGGAAGTGAGAGCTGGACCATAAAGAAAGCTGACCACCAAAGAATTGATGCTTTTGAATTGTGGTGCTAGAGGAGGCTCTTGAGAGTCCCCTGGACTGCAAAGAGAACAAACCTATCAATTCTAAAGGATATCAACCCCAAGTGCTCACTGGAAGGACAGATCCTGAAGCTGAGGCTCCAATACTTTGGCCATCTCATGAGAAGAGAAGACTCCTTGGAAAAGACCTTGATGTGAGGAAACTGTGAAGGCAAGAGGAGAAGGGGATGACAGAGGATGAGATGGCTGGACAGTGTCATCGAAGCAACCAACATGAATTTGACACAACTCAGGGAGGCAGTGGAAGATAGGAGGGCCTGGCATGCTCTGGTCCATGGGGTCACGAAGAGTCGGACACGACTAAACGAACGAAATTGGTGAACAAGAGTAAACGAGAAGCATCCAGATTTTCTCTATTGCATTTGGAGGGACCATCATTACAATCCATCTAACAGGGGCAGCAGTTAATGGAGGCTGGGTCTGAACTGAGAGACGGCTGCTCTAGAGCGCCCAGCCTTTAAGGTCCTGTGCAGCTAGGCTCTCTTGCCCTCCATACTGACAGTAAACAACCCCTATGGCATTCTGGCTAAGGCGTTTGCATGCAAAGGCCAGACCAAACATTAGAAGCAGTCTAATCTTCTTAGTAGCAACTGTACTGTAAATAGTGACTTCATGGAAAAGCAGGCAGCTGCTGCCCAGTTTGGACTAGCTTGATAAAATGTGGAGATCTTACTGGCAAGATTTCAACCAAAATTAATAGGCTATGTAGCTCATTCTAGGACTTTCTAGAAAAACATTTTCAGTTAATTTTGTATGCAGAAGTATAGTGCACAGGAGATAGATCATCTTGATCCCGTATTTTGTAATGTTAACGAAATCACATTACAAAGGAGTACAGCGCAAAACAGTTCTGGAATTGGAATCTTTGTTCCTGTTGAAATTCAGTACTATTTATAACTTGAAGCATAAAAGAAATATTGGCTGTTACCTAGTTTTTTAGGTCTTCAGAAAGAGAAATATGGTCTGCCACCCCACCTCCAAATTTCAAAAGGAACTGCATTTTATTGTCACCATATTGAACAGAAAGGCCTGAGACTAGGACAGAGTAGCTCAAAGGCATGGGACTTACAAAAGGAAGCAAGCACAGAAGAGGTACTTACCTCTGTTCTTGTCCTCTTCTGTCATTTTTCAGAAGAAATTGACAAATGAGAGCAACACAGATCATTTGTGTTCATCTGTGCTCCCCTCATCTCCCATCTTCATCCACCCCATTTGTGCAAAATTGCTGCACAGATCCTCCAACAGCCACTTGTCCTGCTCTCTTGACTTCCTTGCCTTGCCTTGCCGAGCTGCTGCTGTGCACCTCATTGCCCAGCCAGCCCTGCTGGGGTTTTTTTTTGCCACTGCTGCCGCCCATGCGTTCTTTTTGCCAGATGGCCCCTCTCTTTCCCTTCAGAATGGGGGGAAAGAAACCAAAAGGACTCAAGTGATGCTCCTCTCTTTTTTTGGTGACAAACAAAAGGAGCAAAAGTCAGTCTGTGCAACATTGTCTTCACATACCCTCCAAACCAAATGCAGCATCCTTTTGCATACACAAGTCTCTTGCTCCACTGAGTTAAACATAACTCGTTTCGTTTAGTCGTTTAGTCATGTCCAACTCTTTGTGACCCCATGGACCAGAGCACGCCAAGCCCTCCTATTAATTTTTGTTAAGAACATGCATAAGATCAGAGTATATGGGGTACTTGCTCTTATTTGTTCACAAGCTACAGTGTTCCCCCATTTGTAAGCAGATGTTTCCCAAGTAAGATCTAGAACATCTAAAATAGAACAGAGCATGAAAAACTGTTAAGTTTCAGTTTATTCAGCATGTTTATTCAACAACCTCTCAAATTTCCTCTTTTTTCAACACTTAGTTCCATCTGATAGCCTACTAACCTCATTTTATTTGAGTGCATATGGTTACACATTTTGAGGTGCAAGAAAGACAATCATGTTCTTTCATTTTACAGCTGGAGATAAACTTGCGGCACTTAGATGCCATATGCAACAGAACCTGTTGCACTTTGTGAAAGCTCAGGCACTCTGATACTGTCTTTCTCATGCAACATTTTTCATAGGTGCCAGTGATGCGCTCATGTATTGATGGGGAGACAGATTTATTCTTCGAATATTAAGCTCTGTTGCAAAGGCTCTTGCCTTTTGATAGTAGAAAAGAGACATCTCTCGATCTACAAGGAAATTGTGGTAAATTACTGCAAGCCTGGTATAGATCTTCAGTTGAGCCTTTTTGTTGCCCAGGTCCATGGCAGCAGCAAGGGCCAAGTTGTAGTATCCAGCAGCATCAAAGGGATCCTGAAAGAGCAAAGGCAGATATGAGCCATTGTGACATTTCATACATAGCTACGGTAGCTATCTGACTTTCTTCATGTATACGTCTGAACAGTTAAAGACATGAACAGTGATGGTTGAAGTTTTTATGCTATAAACTCTTGGTTTTTGTGGTTGCTGAAGGGTTGGGGGTATTGTGTAGAGCTCTAGGTTGAGGGGAGATGGGGTGGAGGGGGGAAGGTGAGATGGGTTTAATGACAAGCATTGCTATGCTTTTACTTTAGCAAATGCTGGCTGAACACCAATGTACCTGGACAGTTCCATAAAAGTATAAAACATCTCTAAAGATCAATATTACTTTTTTTGCCTTTTATATGAATGAAGAAAGGAATTTTTGTCTAATATTAAGCTCCCACATTATTTTGTTACGACAGCCAGAATACAGGGGAAGAAACCAAACACTGCAACTCTTGCCTCTGTTGGAGCTTGAACAATTGCCCCTGTGGCCTTCCAGATACCGGACTCCACATTCCATTAGCCCTTAGTTACCATAGGCAATGATCAGGGATGAGGGATTGAAAATTCAACGATATTTTTCGGGGGCAGTGGATTCTCTACCTGAATCTCCACAGTGAATGAAATGTTCTAATTCATTTCATACAAAAAAGCTGTACCTAGCTTAGTACAGTACCTGTAAGTCATGTTTGATCTTGTGTTCTAAATCCGTATCTCCCTTATTAATTAAACACTCCAAATCCAGATGATGCAGAAATGCTTCCCATATTCAGATACCATGTCTCCCATGCATTTTACCTTTAGATCATGGAACGTAATGTCTCCAAGGACAAGGTACACTTTTACATAGTATACGGCTTCCTCGTCAAATTCCAGAGGTGAGGGACAGAGGGACAAGGCTTTTAAGAAGAAGTGCTCCGTAAGTTCATACTGCCCTAGATGACGGTAGATAACAGCTAGCCGATGATATGCTAGTCTTTCATTTAAATGATTGCCTGAGGTAAACAAAAGAATTGGCTTGGAAATTTTGAAAACCCCCAAAATTAAAATACAGTATTCTTTTTAGACACACACACACACACACACACAGGCCTGTGTCACACATTACTCACACTCACATGCTCATTAACTGCATGTGTGACACGGCATCACAAATAAGCAAGAGACAGAACTTCAATATGCTAACACACAATGAGTTTAAATTGGGACATTCAGACTATACACATTGCAAGTAAAGAGATTTACATACATTTCTAATGCTAGGTGAGTGCTGCCTTAACAGGAGATGCTTGATTTGGCCTGTAAATCTTCAGTACTTTAACCATAATTTAGACAGTCTCCCTAATTCTGCAATAGAAATATTTTTATTTTATTTATTTAATTTATATCCCACCTATCTAGTCTTGTTAGGACCACTCTAGGCGTGTTTCCCCAAAAATAAGACAGGATCTTATATGATTTTTTTCTCCAAAAAACACATTAGGTCTTATTTTCAGGGGATGTTTGATTTTTTTCTATGTACGACAATCTACATTCATTCAAATATAGTCATGTCACCTCCTGGTTGCTTCACAATGGGGTTTCACTTAACTAGGGCTTATTTTGGGAGTAGGGTTTATATTACGAGCATGAAAAATCATACTAGGGCTTATTTTCAGGTTAGGTCTTATTTTCGGGGAAACAGGGTATTTGTTCCAGAGAAAAGTAAAGAGGACTGCATTCCAGAAAACGACACTACAAAACTTAGAATGAGTTTTTATTACATAGTGACTGGGACAGCATTAGTTGACTTGCACATGTGAATTTAAAATATTTCTAACCCCCCACCTTCAGTGTTCAAGACACTGCACAATGTAATTTGAATAACCTAAATCCAAATCCAGTGTTCAATCCTGTTCTACCGAATGAATGAAACTTGTTCATTCAATTCATAAGTGACAGTGGAAGGAGTCCTGGCAGCTTTGACAGCTGCAAGACTTGATTTTGGTCCATTCCCAGCAACTGCATACACTGGAAACTGGCCAAACTGGAGTGCACCTAGAAGCCCTGATGGGCTAAAATGGTGGTGCTAGGAGCACTCTGGGGATGGATTGGTTCACTCTAGCTATCAGGCTGCCTGATCACCAGGGAAAAAAATGAACCCACTCACCCCCTGAGCACCAAACAGTGGGACAAGCGCCTGTCTGATTGAGCCCATCAGCTACGTTTCCATCTCACCCAAAACAAAGCAAGCAAACAAAAACCCTAGAGTTATCATCATAGGAACAAGCCTAGGCAAGCTTTGAGCATGCCTTGCCTTTTCATTCGAGCTGCTAGGAGTTTTGTTCATTTCAATTGTGGTTTAGTGATATAAACGAATCCCAGACTGTGGGTATTAGCTATGATATTTAAAAAAAAAACAGATTAATTACCCATGATTTTAAAGTGTTTTTCCCCCAATAAAATTACTAGTAACTTCAGATTACATGATAGACTGTGGTTGATTAAAAGTGGAAATTAAAATATCCAAACACCTTCTGATAGCCATTTCAGAGAAGGAAAGGGATGAGGGAATTACTATGTCCAAGGTTCATAATTCACTGTCATGATAAAATACAGTTTACTCACTTTATCCAAGTTCAGCCTTTCAGTTGAGAGACATCAAGTTTTAAGAGATGAGAAATAAAGTGATGAATGTCCCTGTTTGTCTGAAGGGGCTTTTAGAAACCTGCTGGCAAGTCTTACCTAAATTGATACTGAGCATTAATGAAGCTTGTACATATTCCAGACACTCCTCATATGACTTCAGGGAAAAAAGCAATTCTGCTAATTTGTTGAGAAGTCGAAGCTCAGCATGGCTGTTCCTCATCTTTACAGCAAGTGGCAAAGCCTTGTCCTAAGACAAACAGAAGCATTAAAGACCATTTGGCACTTGCTGGATTTTTAACAAAGGAAGATCAGATATCATTATTTCAAACAACAAATGGAGTTGGATCTCATTCTGTACATGCATCATCTGCTATCTCACCAAAACTGATGTGGGCTTGGGTTGAATGACAGAGAGTTTTTTTAAAAACTGAAGAGCAGAAGACTAACCCTGTAGAAGGGCACAGCTTTTTCTCTTTCCCAGTCTCCATTGAAAAATATGTCTCCAGAAGCTTCAGATAATTCCATTTCTAAATTAGGATCCTGAATGCAACGAGCGGCATTTTGGGCAACCTAGAAGTAGAGATATAGTCTGTAATATTAGACAATAAAAATTAAAATAGTGACTCTCTAAAAGAGAAACATCCAGCAACAATTTTTATTCAGCCCGAGAAATAGACTATATAGGTCTATAAACTGATCTATAGAGTTAGAGATATTCTGAGTTAGCAATGTTCTCTAGATTCATCACAGCATCACATACTATATTCATGGAGGATCACAAACCTTGTTAAAATACTTAAGAGTGTGACTGGCTGTTCTTCATCTATATTATTGTTGTTGTTGTTTCAACTTATACACTGCCCTATAGTGTTTGAGCACTCTCTGGGGTGCTTACACAAGATACTTACACAAGGATCACTTTGTTCCCCAGCAAGCCGTGTAATCAATTTACTGACGTAAATTGGGACTGAGCTCAGGTCATGATCAGAGGCCTGGCTGCAGTACTGCAGTTTAACCTCTCTGCCACAGGACACTTACTCCAGAATAAATTGACCATGTCTTCCTTGAGGAAGTTAATTCCTTACCAGTTTTGTGCATGTGATAATACATTACTGTGTATTTGTCAACATAAAATTGTGACTGGTAGCCAAAAAACATTATTGGGAGTTTTTCACAGAAGAAAGTATCAAATTATCTGCTAAAGCCAGTGAGGAAACCTCCAGCTAGCAGGCATAATTCAAACTGTGGGCAATTCCACTTTGGTCCACACCCTTTCACAAAGCACTACCACCATCCCATTCCAATGGGATGGTGAAAGTTGTGAGGTGGACTTTCCTTGTGTAGAGAGAGAGGCACAGAAATCCCAAGCCTCTCTCTGCATGGAGAAAGTGATCCTGGATGACTGGGATTTGGATTTTTGGATTTTTCCAGCAAAAATCCAGATCCTTACTTCTGTGCTATAGGATTTGTTAGCAGACAGAGCATTATCTAATTTGTGGCAGGGCTGGCAATAATGATAATCTGACTAACTGCAGCAATCAAATCTGCAGTTAATCACCCCTCCATGCAGCAAATTAAATATGGTGATACCATCTCTGACAATCTGTACATATAGTCACTCTGCTTTTTCAGACACAGAAGTATTTTACAGGTAGCAGTTTTATAGTGAGGTGGAATTAACACCAGCAAAAGAGAAGTTGCCGTGTTGGTGCAAGACAAAATCTTAAAATCAGTTCTAGGGCAACACTTTTCATAGGCCAATTTAAGAAAAAACACCAAAAAAGTGTGCAAGCTTTCAAGTGTAATATTTCTTCAGCAGAGAAGATATTACAAAAATAACTATGGGTAGTGGAAGTGGAGGAACAACAGAATGATTTTTAAGTTCTTGTGATCTGTGTGTTGCCTTGAGATTAAATGGGGGTGCCAGGATGCAGGCAGTAGAATAAGGTTCATCAGGTGACCCAATAGATTTTGACAAGGTAGATGATCAACATAGTGGGAGCAAGAAAAGTTAGAAACTTTTGATCTTCCTTCTTAAGAAATAAAGAGTTTTTCAGGGGAATGCAAGGGCTTAGGATCTGATAAATCCAAATCTACCCTATATCTGGACCTTCTGTCAGCTACCATCTGGAAAACACCCTTGGTGTTACAGCTATGCTTTTGGAGCATAGTAAAGTAACTGTGCATTTCATACAGTGTATTTGTACAGACACAAAATTACTCTCCACCATCTGTTCCCAGCCAAGCTGGGAGTGGAGGTGGACAGCAAGATTGTTCTGCTGATCATAACACAGAAACACCATTCTCTTGCTACCTTTCTAGGCCTTCCAGTTAGTGATCTGAGCACAGATTCTTTGCAATTGTCTGCTGGCAGGAAAGGACACCATTACATGATCATTTTGTTTTGATTTTTTTTTCTGGACTCTCTTCACTATGAACAGGGTGTATTACATTCTTCAAAAGCATTTTAATGAGCTCAGGGATGCTTAGCCCTAATATGCATGGATGTGTTTGGGATGCAGGCAAAATAAGTAGACAGAGTAATGAAGTAGAAGTAAACTGATATAAGAGTGATTGACAAGGAGAAAATTAATTTATTTAGATTTGCATTAATAAAAATTAGCATTTACAAATGTTTAGACAAATGTGTCCCTGGTGGCCCTTTTTTTTGGATTTAGCGATACCCCTGCTGGCAGCCTTCCTAGCAAAATCTCTTCTCCAAGTAATCTTTGAAAAGCCTCCATTTCTTTAATATTTGTCCAAGACTTTTAGAGGTGATCTCCCACATGTCCCTTTTCCTTAGATCCTTTGCTAGAGAAGCTGAAGCTACCTTTAAAAATAATTCTGCACCACACACTTGAGGAAAAGCCTCTAAATATTCTAGGAGAAAACCTTTTGTCAGGTGCCTGTTTTATCCCACAAAAATATGAGGTTAGAGGTATAACTTCCTGATCCCATTTTAGATTAGTATGTTAAAAATAAAAATAGGTATAAAGTCCAATTATTATAGAAAAATAGTGGAAACAAGCACATAAAATGCTGGCCCAAATCCTGTTGCTTAGCATAATAAATTGCATTAGAATAAGCCTATTGTATCAAAGGGGACGTGGTAAGTCACCTCTTCCATTATTTCCAGTGATTCAAATGGCCCTATTCTAATTGTAACTTACTGTGCTAAAGTAAATTGCAGTTCAAGTAGACTCATTTGAATCAACAGAACTTATAAGGGTGACTTATCAAATCCCTGTTGGTTCAACAGGTCTACTCTACTACAATTTGCTGCACTAAGCAACAGGATTTGGCCAATACCATTTAGCTATATGATTTCCCACTGATGGCTTTCTTCTCTTTTTCCTTTTTTGTCCTTTCATAGTTTCAGATATCATTACTCTTACCTGGATATACAGATCTACTAGCTCGTTTTGCCGCAAGATGTAATATATCTTTCCTGCCTGAAGCCAAGCCTGTGCCTCCCTTGCTTTTGCCTGAAGATCAATAAATATTCCAAGGCTTCTTTTGGTGTATTCCAGAGCAGATCTGTATGCCCTAAAGGAAATCACAGTATGTAAGAAAAGGACATGATGACAGCTGACCTCTCCCCAGATAAGCTGCCATCATTCTCTCTTCTTTTTTGGAAAACAGAAGTGTTTTATTAATTACTGCACACTCTGATCCACTGCTGTCTTCTTCAATATATGCACGGGTTTCTTTGATATTGACAGCAGGCTCATGGTTGAAATAAGATCCTGCTAATGGTGTCTTTTGGGATAGGAGACTGAGCATCTGTTTAATCAACATTTTGGTGCTATTAATACAGGGAACAGAAACTCAGAACCAGAATTTGGCATAGTCCTATCACTGCATGCTGCTGGATTTTTCCTGGCAGAGCTGCTGTGCCACTAACGGATGAACAGAAATTCAATGCAAACAGTTTTCAGCACTAACTTACAGAAAAATATTCTCCTGATGGAACCTTTCCTGACACACAAGAGTCCTGCACTAGATCTCTTACTGAGCCTCAGCATGACACTGTTCAGTAGCACTTGCAGAGGGACAGCAGTCTTTCCAATGACAATTCTTCTGTTTGGGCCTTTATTTAAAACTAGTGAACTGCATGTTGTGATAGAATAAAAGCTGGGAATATGCTACGAGGACACTGCAGCAACTGCAGGGGAAGGGTTGAGTCACATTTCTCCTCATGAGTAGCTGTCAGTAGAGGTCAAGCTACCAACCAGCAAAGATATTTAATGAGGTTTCCCTCAACAGTAATACTCTATGCAGTTTAAGGATGGAAACGCTCTGGGGGCACAGTGGCTAGTTCTTGATTCCTGGAACTTACCACAGGATACACCAGCGTGCCAAGACAAATTTTGGTTTTACAAAAATGTTTTTTTAAGGGGGAGGATTCATAACAAATGACATGAGAGATTGTACATTGTTTCAAAGGAGAATGGCCTTTCCTGGAGGCTTCCAGGAGAAGCAATGCTGCTTCTTCATGCAAATGTTTCCCTAGTGCCAGGAGTCGCAGTGGAGGTCCAGCCCCTTACAAAGGTCACAAGTCATATGCTGACCATGACTAGTCCAAACACTATGCTCCCCATGACTGTCATCCATATATAAGAGATCAAAGCAATCAATCTCTATCTGCAGCATTGTCTCATCCAGTGAGGAAGGGCTTTGAAGCACTGAAACCTGTTCAGCCAAAAAAATGAAAATTATCACTGCAATGCTGCCCCTGTGCCACTTTGCTATAAGGTACTCATCTGCAGGAGGCTAAACAAAGCAATTTTGGATCACGCTGAATCATGCCAAAAAGAATACATGCTCCACCACCATGCCAGAAATGTGCAGGACAGCTCTTAAATGGGAAGGATGGATCATTCTAACTTAAAACACATTTAGATGCCATCATTTGTCTTGGTCCAAACAGTACCAACAACAATCCATATAACAATCTATCTGCCACACAGCGGGCCCACAGTTAGAGCTGAAGGCAGACTGATTTTGGAAAGAGGTGCATGGGTTACTCTTGGAGCTTCCAAGGAATCTTGAAGACCAATTAACAAACAAAGCAAGCAAATCTACATAAATAATTCCAAAGGTGAAAGAATCTCCATCTGACATCTAAACCAGAAACAGACTTTGGAGATAGTTTGTGAGTGAAAGAGGGAAACTCTTAACTAATATGAGTCACAGCAGAAACTTATCTCACCACTCTGATTATGCAGATTAGTTTGCTTTGTTGGATGACTGGTCTTCAAAATTTAACCACATGATTCATTTGAAGTCCGATTCACAGACAGGAACATCTGCCTCAGGCACCTCTCTGCAATGTTGGCATGTTTTCAGCTCTGATTACAGGATATACTGAGCATGGCCTCCAATGCTTTTGCTACTTAAAGATTTTCCCCTCCTAATCACAGAGTCCCTCTAGTATACAGTGGTGCCTTGCAACACGATGTTAATTCGTTCTGCGAAAATCACTGTCTTACAAAAACATTGTCTTGCGGAATGCGGTTCCCCATTGGAATGCATTAAAATCTATTTAATGCATTCCAATGGGGGGAAAATCATTGTCTTGCGAAAATCGCCCATAGGAAAACCATTTTGCGAAGCTGTCAAAATCGTTGCCTTGCGAAAAACTGTCTCTAAAAAAAACGTTTTGTGAAGCGCGGACCCAGCTGTCAAGATCGTCGTCTTGCGAAAAACCGTCCCGGAAAAAACCCGTCTTGCAAAGCATGGACAGAAACATTGTCTAGTGAAAATCGCCCATAGGGAAAACGATTTTGCGAAGTGCTATAGCGATTGCAAAAACCCATCGTCTTGCGAATTAACCATTTTGCAAGGTAATCGTCTAAGCGAGGCACCACTGTATTTCATTCCTGGGACATGAGATGTGCAAGCCAAGCCATGTTTATCTCCCAATGACCAACTGCAAAATAAAAGCAGGTTAATTTGCTTATTCTAATGTGGCAGGCCTGCATGAGAATAAACATGTAGTCCTTTCCTCTTAAGGGGGATCCACTTGTAATGATAGTTTAACTGTATTGCTTTATCTAGCCAGAATGGAAGTCTTCTGCACATAAGAGGGCACCTTTGGATTTAACTCACTGAAACAAGGTTACCAATGTAACTATGTACCCTCACTTAATTTGAAATAAATCAGCTCAAAATTTGCCAAATCTTACCTTTCTGTACCTAAAGAGAGATATAGCTGACTGATGGTTTCCAGTATCTGCCCTTCCATGACTTTGTTAGACATTTTCCTAACTAAGGAGAGTTGATACTCATTGTAGATGACACACTGTGCTTCATCTGGAAGAACTGTACTGTAGAACTGGCACAGGTGCTGAACAGCCTTGAGCTGCCCTATAAAGGAGGAGGAATGGAACAAAACAGGACAAGTTATTTCCAGAGGAACACACTGTGACTGGAAAGATGAGGAGCACTAATTTACCCATGATATCCTGCATTTTCCTGAATGCACGGGGTGATTTATAACAAATTGAAGAAATATCCATGTAAGCTATAGTCAGGCCTGTATGTACAAAATCTTTCTGACATTCATTGTCAAGGCTTCCACTTTTTTGGTGCACGTAAGATCTGTTTTGGTGCATTTCCAGCACATTTGAACACTGGAAACAGATCAAAGCCTTCTTCTAATTTACCAATATTGTGAAATGACTTAATAAGATGGCTACTTCAGGTTATTGGCAAATTAATCACTTCCTCAGTCCCGTGAAGGAGTAGAAAAGTGAGGCAGAAATAAGGGTGTGTTAGGGTAGTGAATATTCACTTGACCACTTTTTTTAAAAAATGAAACAAGCTTTTGTTTGCTTTTCTTTGAGAAACTTCCTGATTCGGTTTTTGCTACTTAAACACAGTTACATTTTGGAATAAGAAAGTGTACATACCTTCCAAGCAGTTTGTTTCTATTGCCACCAAAAAAGCCCATTCATAACAGCACCTTGCTTTATCTTTATACACTCCCTCGGCATAGCAGCACCCCAGCCTGAGGAGGACATCAATTAAATTTCTGCCACCCTCAGCACTTGGGAGTTCAGAGAGCAGCTTTATGGCTTGAATTAAGAAATGTTCCCCTAGACATCTGGCAGCAGAATGCAGGCAGAGGATCCCAATGTTCGCTACAGCCACAGCCTGATTATGTATTTTTCCTGTCTCTCTTGAAATATTCAGAGCTTTATAGTAACTCTCAGCTGCTAGCTTGGTATGGCTAATACGCCTCAGTCCAATGGCAGTCATGTTATAGACAACACCTAACTGTTGGTGGTTACTCTGGGAAGATTCCACAATGGTATTTAGAATGTCCAGAGCCACACTGTCTTGATGACTGAGAATATATAACCAACTGAGCATGATTAAATGGTTAATTGTTTCTTCGGCGTTTTTATGTGCACCTCTATCTAGAATCTTCTCAATATAGCCAATTGCTTTTCTGTATTGTTTGTGATGGCAGTGTAGTAGGGAAAGATTGTAACAAACCATGCTGCACAGCACTGGGTGTTCCTTGCTGGCTTCTAGCAAATGGAGTATTTGGCCAAGATAATACGCAATTTGGGAAGGATGTGTTTGCCCCGCAGTTTTTAGGCTATGGACTTTGCCAACATTCTTGAATACTAAATCAATGCATTTTAAGGATCCAAACACAGTACATGAGCTGCAAGAGATGGCAATCTTGACACAACTTAGTGCAAGGTGGGGCAAACACTTCTGACTATATAATTGGCCCATCTTACAATAGCAATCAGCAGACAACGAATCCTTCTGCAAAGTCAAGCTTTTCTTCAGAAGCTGCAGTCTTTCTAGGAATGGCAGTGCTTCTTCACCTTGTTTGAAGTTCAGATAGTGCTTTGCTAGCAGGAAACATGCTCTAGCTTCTGCATGCTGACTTTGACTCATCACTGCTTTTTTTAAAGCATACTTCAGAATATCTGACTCCATGCCTGTGCTGCTGATGTAGCTGGAAATTCCCATAAGCAGAGAAGCAGCCTTGTCCAAGAAACTACATTTCTCCTTGTTGTTCTGCTTCAGGTAGATGCCTGATAGATTTGTGTAAAGACTTACTACAAGGTAGTGGTCACTAAAGTCTCCTTGCATGGCTGTCAAAGCTTCCTCAAAATAAATGCGAGCTTGAGAAAGCTTGAACTTCCGCACACTCATTCTCCCCAGGAGAAGGCACAGCCTTGTTAAGGCCCATGGAAGACCTGCTCTTTTGGCTACTTCTCTTGCCCACACAAAATAATCAATTAATTCTTCTTCAGTGGCATATCCATAAAACAGGGTGCTGAGAAAAGAAAATGAAAGATCATACAGATTTTTGAAGCTGGGCTTGTAGGTTTTGGAGTTCAAGAATGCCAATAATGAATCACACATCTCTGGCCTGCACAGTTTTACATCTCGGTATATGCAAAAACGTGGCTCCACATTTCCAGAAGCCTGCACCCCAGTCGAAGTAGCAGCTTTCTGTTTCTGATCATCTCTTTCTGCCTTCCACAGCTGAAAGTCTCTCACTTCCTTTAAGGATTGTGCCACTTTATATTTTATAATCCTAGGATTTGTGTTAAGGAATGGAGGCGACATCTCTGAAACACACAAGAAGGTTATCACTACATGAAGAGAAATATAGGAAGTTAAAATGACAAAGATAAATAAGTATATAGATAAGATTTTCCTGTATGTTCAAGCAGGAGTGTCTTACATTTTTGCCTATGTAGGGCTGTGTTTCCTTGGAATTAGTCTGTTCTGAGGCCAAAGAAATGCAGGGCATTCACAGAAATAATTCTGAGGCAGGGCAAAGTCTATTAATTGCATCTATGGACTGGTGACCTGATTGTAGTTTTTACCTGTGTACATTTAAAGAAATTTAACACTTGGGAGGAGAGAGCAAGCACCCTCCCTTGCTGCTCCCCTCCCCTTGGACACCCATAACAGAAAGCAGTGGTGGATAGAGCCACAGCTGAAAATAGGTGAGCATATTTCTCCCATCATTTCAACAACTATCTTTTTATCTCTGTCCCTGGTTCTTCATTGTCTACTTCCCTGCTTCTTCCATCCCATTTGGAAGGATGAGACATGAGCTGCTAGTTGGGCCTTTTTGAAGTCCAGCCAAGGATGACAGATTGCCCACTCCCTTTAGGAACACAACACATCTAAGAGAGTATTATAATGTGTTGTTGGAAATACTTCATATATAAATTCTTGCTTAGAAGGTGACTTATGAATTAGGCTCTTTGAATCAAAGGAAACTCTGTTTTACTTTGCTCTTTCTTCGGACAAAACAGAAGGAAGACACATGTGAGCCCATACGCTACCCCTTAGATATGTAACGTTCACCAAGAAAACCAGATTAGATCCTAACAGTTATGTCTGAGTAGAGTACCTGTTCATTGAAGTGCAAAAACTGCTTTCAAGGGAAAAGGCATAATTATGTTACGCAGTACATCTATATGTACTTTATTGCAAAAGAAAAAAAATGTAGACACTACAAAGTTTGGTTGAAGCAACTGCTTTGAAGATTCACTACAACAATGGAAACGAAATGGAAGAAAGAGCATGACTCTCTCAACGACAGCTATCATCTTAATCCAGTGTGTGTGCATATCTCTGTACCCACCCACCCACTCACTTTGCCTTTTAATAAATGGCAGATTCATCATGGATCTTCAAAAATATTGAATATTTGTACACTGTACCTTGCTGAGCAGAATCCTCACATTCTAAAATGTCCTGTTCATCTAATTAAAAAAAAAAGAGGGGTAAGCATTTAAATCATATTTTCGCTTGCCTTGTTTATATATTTCATTTACCAGCTCCCACCCTCTGCGTAACAGGTATATCATAAAAAGTATATTTAAGAGATTCCTCTGCTTCAGTGCATAAAAAAGAACAAAACAAAGTCTTCTGCATCTTTAAGTAACTTTTTAAAAAACATTTAAACTTAACACAAAACTCAAGGACCAAACCCATACGATGAAATGTATAAAAAATTAAAAAGCAAAGTACAGCAGATTAATTAACAAAGGGCATAGCTGATGCATGAGGCAAGGCTGGGCAAAAATAGTCTTAACCACCTGGCTTTCCATATGTAGCCTCGGATCTAAGGTTATATCTGCACTGCACAGTTACAGCTGTTTGATTTCACTTTCACTGCCATGGCTCCATCTTATGGAATCCTAGATTTTGTAGTTTGTTCAGGGACTTCACATTCACAGCCATTAAACTCTACTGCCCCTCCCTTACAAAGCTACAGATGCCAGGACCACACTTACCTCACCAAACTACAGGATTCTACAGGATGGAACAATCACAGCTCAAGTAGACCTAAACTGCTATAACTTTGTAGTGTTGTTGTTATTGTTTAGTCGTTTAGTCATGTCCAACTCTTCGTGACTCCATGGACCAGAGCACGCCAGGCCCTCCTGTCTTCCACTGCCTCCCGGAATTGGGTCACATTCATGTTGGTAGCTTCAGTGACACTGTCCAACCATCTCGTCCACTGTCATCTCCTTCTCCTCCTGCCTTCACACTTTCCTAACATCAGGGTCTTTTCCAGGGAGTCTTCTCTTCTCATGAGATGACCAAAGTATTGGAGCCTCAGCTTCAGTGTAGATATACTCTAATAATACTGCCAAGCAACACATCAGGTCTTTCAGAGGAAATACTATACTTTATAAAACAGGTTGTTTCCCCAAGTCTGGGTTAGATTATTTACTGATCAATCAAACTGAGTTTGTTACCTAGACAATGGTTTAGAACTCCTGGGCATTAGCTGAAAGGAGGTAGAGCTGATTGTCATCAGCATATTGATGAAACCCAACTCCAAGACTCTGAAGGACCTCACCCAGTAGACCTTACCCAACAGTAAAAGAGTCTAAGGGACAAAACATACCCATGAAAGCCAAAGACCAAACATCAGGGGTTGAGCACCACCTTCCCCCCAACCTAGCACCTAGTCCTGGAACTAACTGTTCAGTCAAATAGGACCAAAGGCAATCAAGAACAAGTGGCCAAAGTCACGTATCAGAAACATGGCCCAGGGTAATACCATGGTCAAGGATATAAGATGCTCAGAAGCCCGGCAAACCTAACAAGAATGCACTCTTGGATCACCAATGGAGGCAGAGAAGGTGTGCTTCTCTGAAATAAATCTCAAAATAGTTTTTGACTTGTGCTGCCTTAAATGGGGCATATTATGTTATTACAAAAAATTGAGGCACATAAATGTGCATTATAAATGGTGTACCTTTTATTCCATTCACCTCTGTGGTACAATGTGATACCCTGAGGTGATATAATCCTGAACAGCATTAGAGTAGCTGAAGCCAAACTCTGTGGCAAATGAAATAGGAATTTGATTGTTATATATCCACCCAAAGCAGAATTTTGTCACATGCTTTGGGGTCGGTGAGTGGGTGGGTGCACCAAGGTCTGAAACCTTGTGTGTTAGAAGTATTACACAGGGTGGAGACAAATTTGCCCTAAAGTGAAAATATTTTTAAGATTCGTTTTTTGGAAATGTAGTTTAAAATAAGTAATTCGAAACAATTAACCAGCTCCAGCAGAACAAAATCAATGCAATATAAGCAATCTTGGCAATTGAATGAATATTTTTAAACTCAGAGATATGAGATCATAGCAAAAAACAGATGAATGAATGAAAAGTCATATAACCTTACAGTGCCATATTTTGGAAAATGTTAATTCATGAGATAAAAGTACTCATAATAAAATTGTCTGTAAGGATTTAATTCCTAAGAATTTGTTTATGGTAAAAATTGAAAAGGAAAACAGTTTGTAAGAGTATAAAATAGTTGAAAACATATATTGTTTTTAAGGCGTAAAGGAGTGACAACAATGCCCCTCGCTAGAGGGGAGGAAAGGATAAAAGCAGTGCAAATAAAAACAAGGAAGTAATCAATTTTCTTCCATAGTTTTTAACTGGATTGGCTGTGTGAGAACATTATTAAAGAATTCTTTTCTGTGTCTAATGATATAGTTAGAAACTACATAATGTGTTTTCTTTCTTTCAAAAAACGGGTATTTTTTCCATGATTTTTAAGTAAGGCTGGTAATTACTGAAAGTGGGTTTTGGGGCTATAAACATCTTAATTTTTTACCTGATTTAATTTCTGCTTACAGCTTCAGTATTTAAACACCTGCAACTTCTCTTCATTGCAAGCAACGTTCCCTCTCATTTTCAGCCTTGCTGGGTGAGGCTCCACCCCTCGTGAGCACAACTTGGCCCTCCTTGTGTATGAATGTTCCCCCCCCCCCCGAGGTTCTGCCATGACCAGAACCAAAGGGGTTGGAAACACTCATTGTGGGTGCATGGAGGAGGAGGAGGAATGCTGCATCGAAGACAGTTTAGTACTACACACCCATGCAGCCACACAGCTTACTGTAAACCTTGGTTGTAAGACTGTTTGAAGGAAATCACACCTGTAACTTTTCATAAGTTGCAAGGAAAGACTTAAGTATTTGTGCCTACAGCCTGTAAGATTTTTGGATTTTTCAACTCTGAAGTGATTTTGTGCATATGGAACATAGAAGCAATGTAGATAAATAAAGTTTGTAGCATTAGATGAACTGATGTTGCCTGAAATTACTGCAACATTGAAAAGACTTATACTTTGATACTCCGAAGAATTTTGATATGATTGTCAAAGATTATTTGGTTTCATTCTGGAATTAACCCTTTATTGGAATAAATGCCAACTGTGATGACACAGGCTTCTGCTTTTTTCCTGGAATTCTATGAATTTTTTAAAGATTCCTGGAGGGTTCAGGCATTACCCGAAATCAATTTATATGGGCTGCAAAGTGAGATTCTTTTTTCAACTGGACAGCAGTCGTTTTTTGAAAATATCTTGCTTCTAAAATTGATTCAATTGAAAGTGGCGTTGTAGGTGTGAACACTGCTGTCATTTTAATTTGTTCCTATGTGGATTTGGGTAGTGGGGCACTGCCATTTCTCCTTTTAATTTTTTTAAATCTTTCTTAAAAAGTTTACTGTTGCATCACTTCATCAATACATTCAGCATTACAACCAACTACCCCATATTCTCTTATTCATCTGATGAAGGAGCCAGCAGAGCAGTGGGTGTAGAGTGGGTGCACTTGGACACAGAGGACAGTCCATGCACCAGGAGCATTGCCCTGCAAAGCAGCTGGGAGCTGCCTCCCCATTCTCATTTTTCTATCATTAATTGGCTGTTTTCCTCTCTCTGGTGTTTCCCTGGTGGTTTCCAGCAACTATTATGACACCAGGTGGCACCTCTTAAACACTTGATTTAGCAATATATCACTTACTTTAAAAAATCAAAACCTTTAAGAACAGCATGCTCCTAAAACAGAAATAAAATGAGTCCATTGTAGCAGTTCAGATGCCAAAATCAGTTTGAATCACCAGAAATAAATGAATTTCCATTCAGTTCATGTGAATGTGGTGACTAGTTTAAATATGTCATGACTTGAGCCTGATTTTTAAAATGTCTGAACAGAAATTGATTCAAATTGCCAGTGTGACTACAATCTAAGCCACTCTCATGAGCAAAACTCTGTTTACTACATCAAGAGGAAATATTGATTACTAAACGAGTAGTCATTGCTTTTGGGATTCCCAATATGGTGTAATTGATAGAGCGGTGGACTAGGACTCTGGCGAACAGGGTTTTAATCCCCACCTATCCATGGAAATTCACTGGAGGAGTGGAACTGGTAAAACCACTCCTGAAAAATCTAACTAATCTAGAAAGCCCTATGTGGCATTCAGCTCTGCTCTCACCTGTCCATCACTGCTGGGCAGGGGAACCTCAGCCAATGAGAGGACGGAGGGTGGTGCAGAAGTGGGAGGAGCTGGGTTATATAAGGTGTGTGTGAGGAGTTTTGAGAGATCAGAGTTTGAGAGATGAATGATTAGAGAGATTGATAGTGAGTGAGAAAGAGCCTGTCAGTGAGGGAAAAGTCTGTGAGAGCTAGTGTCTGAGAAACAGTGATTGATTAATTGATTTTATACCTGTGATTCACCCTTTTATTTTGTGTAATCAATAAACACTTTATTTGTTTTTAAAAGAAACACTTGTCCTTTTGATTTTAAGGATAGGTTGGTGGCAGCAAGTTTTGGTGAAAGGTAGTGAGCACTCTTATAGGCCTGGATGAGTAAGGGCTTGAGAGTGGCCTGCTACACCCTATTAAGGTTGCTATAAGTCAGTTCCGACTTGACAGCATAGAACACACACAGTCATTGCTTTAAACATACTTTTTATGTTTGATATTTGGCAATAAATTGACAATTTTGGACAACACTGTGCTTCTTGTTTCTTCTGAAGGACTGCTTCAGTAATGTAGCCACAATAGCACACAACTGAGAGTCTGTACACAATAATATATTTTTATTTTGGCAATGAAGAGTTGCTTACCTATTTGATATACATTGCAAATGTTACTGTTTGAAGTATCTGTCAAGAGCCTTATCACGTTTTCTTCAAAAAATACTTCTTGTGTAAAATACGAATGCTCATTTTCAAAGAAAGCCAGGCATGGTGTTCTGAAAGAGGCATACAATTAAAGGTCATTTATGCACCATAGGATTGCTAAAGATGGGGTGGAAGGAAGGAAGGAAGGAAAGAAGGAAGGAAGAGCAGTTTGAAATGCACCAACAAAGAGAAATAACAGTGACAAAGGCATTGCAGAGAATAAAAGAGAAGAATTGCAAGAGACAAAATAAGTATGGGTATCTAAAGACAGGAGGCATCTACTACGGAGAGAAAGGAAGAAAGGTACTGTAATAGGTAATTTACTTGGCCTACTCTGAACCCTGATAGGAGCATTGTGCCTTGGCAACAACCGCTTTCTTGAAGGACAAGAAAGCGGTGCTGGGCCTGTGTTTTGCACAAATGTGCCAGCCTCACCATTCAGTTCACTCTTCATCCAATTACCACCTCCTTCACCTGGACATTTTCATTTTAATATATCATTTCCCCTCAAACAAACAAACTTTGTGTTATGTTATGTACTATTAAGTCAGACACAGGGTGCTGTTGTTTAGTTGTTAAGTTGTGTCCGAGTCTTCGTGACCTCATGGACCAGAGCGCGCCAGGCCCTCCTGTCTTCCACTGCCTCACGGAGTTGGGTCAAATTCATGTTGGTTGCTTCGATGACACTGTCCAACCATCTTGTCCTCTGTCGTCCCCTTCTCCTCTTGCCTTCACACTTTCCCAGCATCAGGGTCTTTTCCAGGGAGTCTTCTCTTCTCATGAGATGGCCAAAGTATTGGAGCCTCAAATTCAGGATCTGTCATTCCAGTGAGCACTCCAGGTTGATTTCCTTTAGAATGGATAAGTTTGTTCTCCTTGCAGTCCAGTGGACGCTCAAGAGTCTCCTCCAGCACCACAATTCAAAATCATCAATTCTTCGGCGGTCGGCTTTCTTTATGGTCCAGCTCTCGCTTCCATACATCGCTACTGGGAAAACCATAGCTTTCACCATGCGGACCTTTGTCAGCAATGTGATGTCTCTGCTTTTTAAGATGCTCTCAAGGTTTGTCATCGCTTTCCTCCCAAGAAGCAGGTGTCTTTTAATTTTGTGGCTGCTGTCACCATCTGCAGTGATCATGGAGCCCAAGAAAGGAAAATCTGTCACTGCCTCCATATCTTCCCCTTCTATTTGCCAGGAGGAGATGGGACCAGTGGCCATGATCTTAGTTTTTTTGATGTTGAGCTTCAGACCGTTTTTGGCACTCTCCTCTTTCACCCTCATTAAGAGGTTCCTTAATTCCTCCTCACTTTCTGCCATCAGAGTGGTATCATCTGCATATCGAAGGTTGTTGATGTTTCTTCCAGCAATCTTGATTCTGGCTTGGGAATCAAGTTTGCTGGTCTCCTTAGTCCTAGTCCAATACTCTATCCACTACATCAAACTAGTTCTTAAATATGATTTAGAGAATATAGCAATGAATTAGTACAGTCACATTTGTAGAATTACCAATGCATTTAACAGTGGAAAAAATGAATATAGTTACTTCCACAACAACATAGCTCCGAGCTTCCCAAAGTGTGTGCCATAGAACCCCTCACTGTGCCCCATGGCTCCCTGGTGCACTGCCAAACCAGCCAGCAGCAACACAGAAGCTTTTCTTTGTTGTTTTTTTCTTTGTTTTCTCCTGCTGTTCTGGTGCCAGCTCCATCTGCTTCATACTTTTTTGCTTACTGCTCTACCCCACATTCCTCTCTCTTTCTGCTCTGCCACCGCCACTGCCGCTCAGGGGAGCCATGAGTAGAAAATATTTGGGAACCACTGACACAGCTGGATAGCAGATTTTGAGTGCCAAATTTACAATCAACTACTTAACTGAAAGCTAAAAACACGATGCACCAAAGGGAGTTTAAATGTTAAGTGCAGTTGCACAGCAGCAAATTGTAGAAAGACTAAGACCAACCTTGAATGCCAGATGCAATTGCCTTGCTTCCTTATCATCCATAATACTTACTCTGTCACAGTAGTATGGAAGCCATCAAGGACAACATGACTGCTCTGCACGAAACCAAGTCGGCCAGTAGGGACATGTCTTCCCACAAACCACGGCATGCATTTCGTAAAACAGCCGATAATTTCAATTCCATCTCCTTTCTCAAAACCAATTTCATCAGCAACAGAACTTTCATGTCTAATAATGGCTACAGAATATCCTGTGGCTGTGTGGTAAAGAAACAAGAGACATGGTACTATGATAATAACATTACATTGGCATTTAATTTAATTTAAGGAGCTAGGGAGCAAACATAGTTTTATAAGATAAATGTGGTTGGAAAATAACACATTTTAAACCCGATTCTGGCCATGGGAAAACTATATCTATGGGGTCATTTCTATGAAATAACTTCAGGTGTAGGGAATACTACTTTGCTTTTAAATCACCACTGTAACATCACAAGAGTATTAATCACTGAATGTAAAGGACTGAACACTTTCCACTATCAGAGATTCTTGATCTGTTTATTGTTGGACCCAAGCAAAGAAAGGAGTCATCTAAGCCTCATCAACTTCCTTCCCAGGGGAAACTTGATCAATAGCAGTTTCACTTGTTTAATTCCACAATGAACACATAAGTACTGCATTATACTACTAGCCTGTTACATGCTTTTATCATAGTCATAGTGAAGAGTAATGACTAAATGAGATCCACCTGGAGCAGGAACTGGCAAGCCACTCCAGTATATTTGCCAAGAAAACTCCATGGACAGAAACAAAAGGCTAAAAGATATGACGTTGGAAGATTGGAAGATCCTCAGGTCAGAAGGCGTCCAACATCCTACTGAGGAAGGGCAGAGGACAAGGACAAGTAGCTCCAGAGCTAATGAAGTGGTTGGGCCAAAGCCGAAAGGATGCTCAGCTGTGGACGGGCCTGGAAGTGAAAGGAAAGGCCGATGCTGCAAAGAAAAATACTGCATAGGAACCTGGAATGTAAGATCTATGAACCTTGGCAAGCTGGAGGTGGTCAAACAGGAGATGGCAAGAATAAACATTGACATCCTGGGTGTCAGTGAACTAAGGAGGACAGGAATGGGTGAATTCAATTCAGACGATTATCATATCTACTATTGTGGGCAAGAATCCTGTAGAAGAAATGGAGTAGTCCTCATAGTCAACAAAAGAGTGGGAAAAGCTGTACTGGGATACAATCTCAAAAATGACAGAATCCAAGGCAGACCATTCAACATCACAATAATCCAAGTACCGAAATCAGACTGATTATGTTCTCTGGAGCCAAAGATGGAAAACCTCTATACAGTCAGTAAAAACAAAACCTGAAGTTAATTGTGGCTCTGATCATCAGCTTCTTAAGCAAAACTCAAGCTTAAACAGAAGAAAGTAGGAAAAACCATCGGGCTAGTCAGGTATAATCTAAACCAAAACCCTTACAAATACACAGTGGAAGTGAAGAACAGATTTAAGGAACTTGATTTGGTGGACAGAGTGTCTGAAGAACTATGGATGGAGACTCGTAACATTGTACAGGAGGCAGCAACAAAAACCATCCCAAAGAAAAAGAAATGCAAGAAAGCAAAGTGGCTGTCCAACGAGGCCTTGCAAATAGTAGAGAAGGGAAGGGAAACAAAATGCAAGGGAGATAGAGAAAGCTACAGAAAATTGAATGTTGACTTCCAAAGAATAGCAAGGAGAGACAAGAGTGCAAAGAAATAGAGGAGAATAATAGAAAAGGAAAAACCAGAGATCTGTTCAAGAAAATTAGAGATATTAAAGGAACCTTTTGTGCAAAGATGACATGATAAAGGACAAAAATGGCAGGGACCTCACAGAATAAGAAGACATCAAGAAGAGGTGGCAAGAATACACAGAGGAATTACACCAGAAAGATTTGGATGTCCCGGACAACCCAGATAGTGTGATTTCTGACCTTGAACCAGACATCCTGGAGAGTGTACCACATCCTAAAGTGAGAGCTGGACCATAAGTCAAGTGGGCCTCAGAAAGCATGACTAACAACAAGGCCAGTGGAGGTGATGGCATTCCCGGCTGAACTAGTTAAAATCTTAAAGATTACACTGTTAAGGTGCTACACTCAATATGCCAGCAAGTATGGAAAACTCAACAGTGGCCAGAGGATTGGAATCAGTCTACATCCCAATCCTAAAGAAGGGCAGTGCCAAAGAATGCTCCAACTGCCATACAATTGCACTCATTTCACACGCTAGCAAGGTTATGCTCAAAATCCTACAAGGTAGGCTTCAGCAGTATGTGGACCGAAAACTCCCAGAAGTACAAGCTGGATTCTGAAGGGGCAAAGGAACTAGAGGCCAAGTTGCTAACATGCGCTGGATTATGGAGAAAGCCAGAGAGTTCCAGAAAAACATCTACTTCTGCTTCATTGACTACTCAAAAGCCTTTGACTGTGTGGACCACAGCAAACTATGGCAAGTTCTTAAACAAATGGGAGTGCTTGACCACCTTATCTATCTCCTGAGCAATCTATACATGCGACACGAAGCAACAGTTAAAACTGGATATGGAACAACTGATTGGTTCAAATTTGGGAAATAAGAACGACAAGGTTTTATATTGTCTCCCTGCCTATTTAACTTATATGCAGAATACATCATGCAAAAGGTTGGACTGGAGGAATCCCAAACTGCAATTAAGATTGCCGGAAGAAATATTAACAACCTCCGATATGCAGATGATACCACTCTTATGGCAGAAAGTGAGGAGGACTTAAAGAACCTCGTAATGAGGGTGAAAGAGGAGAGTGCAAAAAATGGTCTGAAGCTCAATATCAAATAAACTAAGATCATGGCCACTGGTCCCATCACCTTTTGGCAAATAGAAGGGGAAGATATGGAGGCAGTGACAGATTTTACTTTCTTGGGCTCCATGAATCTGAGGCTCCAATACTTTGGTCATCTCATCAGAAGTAAAGACTCCCTGGAAAAGACCCTGATGTTGGAAAAATGTGAAGGCAAGAGGAGAAGGGGACAACAGAGAATGAGGTGATTGGACAGTGTCATCGAAGCTACCAATATGAATTTCACTCAACTCTGGGAGGCAGTGGAAGACAGGAGGGCCTGGCGCACTCTGGTCCATGGGGTCATGAAGAGTCGGATACGACTAAACAACTAAACAACAACAACAACAACAACAACAACAACAACAATTATTGTGATCTCTCTCTCTCTCTCTCTCTCTCTCTGTGTGTGTGTGTGTGTGTAGTCAGCGTCTAAGCACAGAGTGCAAAAGAAGGAGGTCTATATCAACATATCTCCCTCTCTGTGGAGACATTGTTACAGGAGCTAAGTAAAACACCTTCCATCCTGCAGGCTGTATTTTGCTTTTGTTTTTGTTTTAATATCAGGTTCACCTGCCGAGATATCACTTTTTAAATTTTCACATCAATTTAAGAGCAAATGGCCAGCTGATGAAAGTTTTCAAAGGCTGTTATCACTTTGCATAACGTACTGCACTAGCCACTGATACGTCTTAGGTTTTGGTTCACTTCACAGCCAGCAATGCTGTCTTGGTAGCTGGTTGTGATACAGTTTAATTACTCTGCTTTCACTGTATTATTTAAGCTATGTGTTCTTTTTTATTATACATTTAAATTTTGTTATTTTCTCCTAACTGAACTCAGGAGCTGAAGAGAGGATGAGAGCATCTTATTTATAGATAACATTCTAATAAGATTTACATATAAGCCCCCTTGGGTCCTTTTAAGGACAAAGGCGAGGTAAAAAGTTTTTAAATAAATAAACCCCTCAGACATGCATTTATTTTTTAGGATTGAAAAACAGGTTTTGGTGGTGGGTAGAATGCCAGGTTGGTACTTGGGAGATCCAAGTTCAAATCCTCATTCAGGCATAATGCTAACTTGTGGCAATCAGTATCAGGACTCTTGTGAGGAAAAGGTAGGAGGGGGTTGAACAGGAAAAAATGTATGCTAAACTTGCCATGAAGGACAGGCAAGATGCATATGCTTTGTATGTTTATTTTTCATATAAGATATAAATAATAAATGTGCAGAAATATTCAGTGTATCAGCTCCACAAACAATAATGTTTGTAGAACAAGCAGCACCAACGAAGAGGTGGATTCAGCCCCAGTTAGCAAAGCACACTGCCCTTTTTGGAGATAAATCACATCCACACTTCTTATTGTGAAAACATAGGGAATTCAGTATTTGCTACAGAACCACATTGAGAAAGAAAATATAATAGGAAGCTTCACTTTAGCTGACTAAACTGGCAATGAAAGAACCCATGCCTACTCCCTCACATCTTGAGAGCAAATACAAGGTATCTGTTACATAACAGCACTGATGTTACCTGTCTGTCATGGGTTTGGAGGGAAAGTTCCATCCTATGGGGAGTGGAAGGCGGGACATCAGGAGGAGGGGCTGTACTGTATAAATATGTGATGCCTGTGTGGTGAGAGGAGATGCTGAGACACACACTATGAGATGCTGAGAGACACTGGGGTGTGACGAAGCAGCAGCTGGGAAGAAGAAGCTGTTGTGGGAGTCTGTGTGTCTGACAGGGTACTACTGTGTGTCAGAGTACCAACCTGATAAGTTCAGGTGTCTGTGGGTTAGCCAGAACTGATGGGTTCAGGGTCTGTGCTTTAAGTTAAAGGTTCTAGGTGAACCAAACTGTATGTCAGGAGGAAAGAGGTGAAATTGGCAAAAATATCAGTCTAGGTTGAAAGGAGGTCACCATGGGTGAGAGCACTAAAAGACAGACCAGCTGAAGGAAGTCCTTCTCTGCCTGTGCCTGCCTGCTCCCCCTTAGCAAAGACAGGTGTCTTCCCTATAAGCTGAGTTGTGTGCTGTTGCCTCCAACAAATAAAACTACACAACCTGCAAATTAAGCCATGAACACTGCAGAAGCAAAGCACTGGGGAAAGGGCACTGCTCAGTGGTAGCTCCCTATGAAAAAGGAAAAAAGCACCATCCATATCTGGCCTTCTGGGCAAATGGATGCTTCCAGGACATTAAAATCTTTACAAAAAGGGCTCTGCTTTGTCTTCCTAAACACAGTCCTGCCTCCACAACAGCATGGACGTTGTGCAGTCAGGTGACCCAAGGTACTTTGGGCTAAGGCCATTTAAAGTAACCATTATGGGTTTACAACAGCTATCTAAACTATTTCAAGTTATAAGGGAGGAAGATATATACAATATTCTGAAACAGAAATGGCAAGCCAATATATTTGTTCTCCATACTGATGGGTATATACTGTATATGCCAAAAAGAGAGAGAGAAAGCATTGACATCACATTCCTAATCCCCAATTCCTCAGCTTTACATACTTTGGGACGGGATACATGACATAGCTATGAAATTTCTGGTGATGGTGGCAGTGATAGTGGGGTATTTATAGTATCTTCTCCATCCAAATGAAGAAAAGGTTGAAAATAAGTAAGTTGTTAGGGTTTCAATTGCAACAATAATTACTTACCCATTTGATCATGGGCTACAGGTTCAGTTTTCCTGGTAAAATCACTTGGACTTGCATTTGCTTTCAGAAACCACCTTCAATGGGAAAATTCAAAGAAATTAGAATGCCTTATGTAAGAGGCATCTGTGGTTTTAACAATACTCTGAACCACATAACCTCAAATTTCAGATCACTTTGATGCTAATTTTAAGTGAGTGCTGTAATAATTAAAATTCCACAAGTGGTGGGCAAGTAGGGAACTTATAGAGCATATTAATTCAGATTCCTACTGATGCATCACACCATTGTTCCATGCAAATTATAAATGCAGTGTGAAATAGAAAAAGACTGATTTCTGCTTTAAGCTCATAAAAATGATTGCCACCCTTTCACGTTCTTTCTTGTAAATAAGTCTGAGCACTTTTATGATGATCCCCCACACAAGTAAAAACTTTTAACAGCCTTTAAAGATGGTGTTGGAAAAAAACTTATTTAAAAATGTAAATTTAAAAACTTGGCATATTTCATGCCTGTAATTCTTACAAAACAGTACTTTTAGTGGTGGATGGTTTCATGTAATTTTACTACTGTCCTAGGTTTGCAAGAGAGCTATGCTGAAATATTCATCATGAAGTGAAACATGTTGCTCACATAATATCAAACATATTAGCTAAATCTGCACACATATTGTATTTTTTCCACAAATAAAAAAAAGCACATTCAAGACATTCACCATTTCAGATAACACAAAAAAGAAAGCCAGCGCTGCATATGTTTAATACAGCCTTTTCAAGAAATTCAGTGAACTGCTGAGGGGACAGGAGGGATATGCCAGTTGTCCAGCTCCCCGTGTTATTGTGCTCAGTGGCCACACCTTGAATCTTTGCATTTAAGGTAACACAGCAGTTCTTAAGAAGACTGCATATGTGCTCAGAGGGAAGTGTGGATAATGCCAGCTTGCCCTGTGATCCTGTTATGCCTTTCACGCATTCATTGAACACCAATCGGGTGTTTCCTGAACACATAATCACAACATATGATTTTACTTTTTCTTTACAACTACTTGCTTTTTTAAAAAATTGAAATCTGGAAAATTTAATTTCCTTCTTTTTTGTTTGCAGAATTTAATGATATTTGGCTTGGGGATGGGTGTAATAACATCCCTTCAAAAGAATAGTTATGGCCAGAATGAACCTTACTTCCACTATACATAAAATATCTGAACTCCTGAACACACACAACATATGATTTTACTTTTTCTTCACAACTACTTGCTTTTTTAAAAAATTGAAAGCTGGAAAATTTAATTTCCTTCTTTTCCTTTTGCAAAATTTAATGATATTTGGCTTGGGGATGGGTGTAATAACATCCCTTCAAAAGAATTGTTATGGCCAGAATGAACCTTACTTCCACTATACATAAAACATCTGAACTGACATAGATTTCGGGGAAGTTGAAAGCAATGAGTATACAATGGTGGTTAACATTATTAAAAGATGATATTTTAAAATTATGAACAATGAATAAGGAGGCATCTTACATCAATTGATGGGGCAATATTAAGGCAAAGATCAATAAGAATGCAATTTTTGTTTTTTAAGAAAGTCACTCTGAGAAATGGAGAACACAAGTAGTACAAACAACCCAGTCAAAATAGTAATGCATAACAATCTAAAACTCATACACAGGTAGCAGGTTACTGAGAGAAGGTTTGCCTGAAGAGAAAGGTTTTCACCTGCTTGCAGAAGGACAGCAAAGATGGGGCCAGCCTGGCCTCCTGTGGGAGGGAGTTCCAAAGTCTGGGAGCAACAATAGAGAATGCTCTCTCCTGTGTCCCCATTCCATTATGAAGGTGGTGGGACTGAAAGAAAGGCCTCTCCTGATGATCTTAACACCCAAACTGGCTCATAATGGGAGACATGGTCTTTGAGATAGCTTGGATCAAGGCCATTCAGGGCTTTGTAGGTAAAAGCCAGCACTTTAAATTGTGCCCAATACCTGACTGGCAGCCAGTGGAGCTGCTGTAATAGGGGAGTCATGCGATCCCTGTAACCAGGGATTGACTCCAGCGTTTTGGACCTGCTGAAGTTTCCTGATCCCTGTAACCAGCTCCAGTTTGGCTGCAGCATTTTGGACCTGCTGAAGTTTTCTGACACTTTCCATCGGCAGCCCCACACAGAGTGCATTACAGTAATCCAGCCTGGAAGTAACTAGGTCACGTATCAGAGTGGCCAGATCAGATATCTCAAGAAACGGACGTAGCTAGCGCACTAGTTTTAATTGTGCAAATGCACTTCTGGCCACCACTGAGACCTGGGCATCCAGGTTCTGGGATGAATCCAGGAGCACCTCCAAGCTGCTCTCCGCACATGTTTTTTTAATGGGAGTGTGGTCCCATCTAGGAGATGGGCAGCCCATCTAGGACAGTGGTTCTTAACCTTTGTTACTCGGATGCTTTTGAACTGCAACTCCCAGAAACCCCAGTCAGGACAGTTGGTGGTGAAGGCTTCTGGAAGTTGCAGTCCAAAACTCTTGAGTAACCCAAGGTTAAGAACCAGTGATCTAGGAGAAGGAAAACGCCAGTTTCAAACCTCTACTGCCTTGTGGCTGTATCCACTGAAGGAAGAAGCTTCGGGAGTTAACCTAGAGGCAAAATCCGGAGCTGGAGTCCTGAAGGCAGCATGTGTCATTCTGCCAACTCCTGCGACGTCGCTGGAACCAGTTGTATTGGCTCTTGCCTTTCCATTGGACCATTTCAGCAACATGGAGGGGGGGGGATTTCCTGCTTGGGTAGCAGCCTATCCTCCATATTACTTTACCCAGGCTTCATGCCCTGGAGAGGACACTTCTCGATACAGAGCATTTTACCATAGTCTCTCAAGACTGAAGGATGCCTATAAAGATCCCATCCAGTACAGGCTCCATCCCTATTCTTTGATCTGCCTTTTGACTGACCAGGAGCACATCTGTCTTGTCTGGACCCACATCCACACATACACACTCACGTGAACTGAAAATTAAGTTCATGTACTTACTGGTGAAAAGCATTTAGGGCCCCTGAAGAATCCTCAGCTAGATCACCCCACCTGCTTGATTCTTGGCCTCCCTCTCTAGCTGCTTTCTTCCACTGGTGAATTCTGACTTCTCTGTTGTCATTGACAGCTCTTCCCTCACTTACATCATTTTGAGGATGAAATGCAAAGAAAGTACCTTGAGGAAAGAAGGCTACACATAAAATAGCTCTAGTATTTGCCAAGCTTTTAAATATGTACCACATAAAATGTGTTTTATTTTGAAATAACATTTAAACACCCACTTCTTTAAAGAAAACTCACGTAACTGTAATGGAATCCAGCACTGCACTGAGTCAGACAAGATTGTAAGTTTTCTGCTATTAACATGCATGGGTGGGGGGAGGTCTCCTCTGGGGGGAGGTCTCCTCTCCAGCAGTGAAATATTCTCAGGGGCATGTGCTTGAAAAATCAATCTTGCAAATTCAGCCCTGTTTCCCTTCCAATGACAAATCACAACACAAAATATGAAAGATAGGGAGGTAAGGAAGAGGACACGATACCTCCACTTAAGGGAATACTTATTCTAAACACATGCTAAGTGTGTCATCTAGTTTGACCTAAAACAATTATTTATTCAACTATAAATCATTTTTCTAGCATCGTTTGGTGGCATGACTTACCTTCTATTTATCCGAGGACAAATGCAGCAATTGCATGTATGTGCCTGCATGAGCAAATGCTCATAAACTAGGTATTCCAGCAGATCCTTGTGGGCAAAAATTATGTGGAAGTTAAGCAGCCCAGCATGTTCTGTCTAGCAGCAGGCTGTGCAAGGCACTTACAAGCCAACAGCAGAATTCATAAAAGTACTAAAATAAAAATTCCTATAGCTCCCTTCTTATATTGCTTAGGTTGGGGTGGGCAACGTATGGCACTCCACCCTAGCCCTTCCCAATGTTTAGATCAGTCAAAAAGTCCCCTTGCATGTTCTAGAGGATGTGAAGGGAATTTTGCCATGTTTTGAAGGGTCTTTGCCCCTTCCATTAAAAAGAAATTTGGCTGATTTATTTGGTTAGTACAAGGGACATCTCTGTTGAACATTTTTTTGTAAAAAAAAGGGGGGGGTGTATTTGTAGTAGCAGATGCAATGCTCCAAAGTCCAGGGATGTACAAACCCTGGACCTCTGGAGATTTCCTGCCTTAGAATGTGGATATATTACGTCTTCTCCCCTGGATTTTTAATCAGAGGTTGACAACACTGGTTACTTCCTCCTTCTACAAATAGGAATTACAATCTCAGGAGTGAGCAAATTAAAGATCCAAATTATTTAATCCTTTGTATTTCTCTAGGTAACACCTTAAAGGAAATTTTGTTCCTTGTACAGCATCATTTCTGTCACCTGTAAATAACTGCCACTAATAGTGAAATAGCCAATGAAAAGCCCAATATTTACTGATATCATTAAATTGGGCCACACAGCCTTACTGAACATGTTGTTGTCATTCATCTGAAAATGAATACTTGTCTTCATTCCTTCAGCATGATTTCATTAATAATGTTATTCATCCTCATCACATTGTCAGATAATTGTTTAGATCCTAAGAACTGAGAGAAAAGATGTTCATAGAAAAGGATTTTCCTGTCCCTTCTTGCTTACTTCTATCCCCTTTCAAAAGCTTAACTGGGTGGCTAGAGGGTCTACTGAAGAGCATGGGATGGGTGTGGGATGTTCCAGAGGAAGAGGAAAATTGCCCACGGGTCATATAGAGGCAATGTGCACAGCTACAAGGAACTAGAAATAGAACAGAAGGCATGGCTCTAGAAACTGTGTCTAGAGCTAGTGGTCCTGTCTTCTGCATGACATAAGGAAGGGAAAAGAACACATTGTCCTTTTTCCCACTCTCCAGAAGAAACACATCACTGTATATCAATAAAATATTCAGATTCTGACTGGCAGCTAGTTACAAACCTAAACCCTTCCTATATATAAAATGACTGAACTCCCATTGCTTAGCATAGCAATTTGCAACTAATATAGGCCAAGTATCAGTGAAATGTATGAACAAATTGATTCAGAGTGGCTATCCTAGTTGCAGTTCGGTATGCTAAGCAACAGGTTTTCAGCCATAATACAGAGTCAGGCTTCAAGAAGTTTAGGGGAAGGGGGGGAGGAAAGAAAGTGCCCCCCCACTCCGCATTGTGGCCGTGAGCCCCAGTTGAAGCTCTGGGCAGGAGCAGTCCTTATCGTTGAAAGGGGTACAAAGCACTACACATTTTGCTGCTCCTCCCACTTTCGATGCAAAGACAATGTTCGACCACATTTGTGCCAATATGTTCCCAATAAAGTCCATGGGTATTCAGTATTTCCAGGCACATTGTAGGTACAATTCTTGTTACCTTCTTGAATTAGAAGACTTCTATATATCATATCAAGACATTTGTTGTCTAGCTGGACATTAATTCCAATTGCTTCCTCTAACGATGACAGCCAGAAATGGTCATCTAGCAACAGATTTTCCATACAGTTATTCAAAAAACCTGTTGAAGACATATATCCAACACAAATCGATTATTCAACATGATTTATATAAGCAGCAGCACACTTTAATATTCCAAAAAGTCAGTAACAACAATAACTAAGCAGATATTTTATTAATGGTATTCATCACCTTTGTGATTTGGTTCAAACACTGATTTGGCAATCTAGAAAACAATGCCATTTGCCTTGGACAGTTTTGATATCTGACCTGTGCCTTCTTTCCAAACCCAAATCTGTCTGAAAACCAACACCATCAGTATTCCATCAACTATTTTTAGAAATCAAGAAATAGCTGTAACACGATATTTGTCAGAACTGGGTGAAATGCGCAGTGATAATACTTCCATATCAGTGAAACTGGGAGTTCTTCTTTCCCTCCTCTTCCTACTGTAGGCCTCTGCACCACTGAAACCCCATTTCATAGGATTTCCAAGCCTTCCAGAGTGAGTTGGGGGGAAGGGGCTATAACAGGAAAGGGGGCTCATATATCTGGTGAAAGCAGTGAAAGCCAGTAGAAGTTCACCACTGAATGTGACCTAGGAGCTCTATGCAATTATTATAACTACTAAACAGCACATAAATTTCTGTGCTGTATGCTTTTTTTGTTACTGTCACTTAAAACCTATGGCCATCCTAGGAATTAGTGGCCTCCAAAAGGTCCTATTGTCAACAACACCGCTCAGCTCTTACAAACTCAAAGCTGTGGCTTTCTTTCGTGGGTCAATCCATCTCTCACTGGGTCTTCCCTGCACATGGTATTCAAGAATATCATAGTGTAGATCAGTGGTTCCCAATGTTGGGTAACCCAGGTATCCTTGGACTGCAGTTTTCAGAAGCCTTCATGACCAGCTGTGCTGCCTGGGGTTTCTGGGAGTTGAAGTCCAGGAAAACCTGGGATACCCAAGGATGGGAGCCACCAGTGTAGATGATCTTCACCTTGGTCTTTGAATCTTAACCATTCAGTTTCCAGGCATAATAAGTGTTGGTTATTATGACCTATAAAGCTCTTCATGACTTAGGTCCAGGTTATCTGAAAAACTGTATGGTGTCCTACAAGCCTGCCCAGGCTTTAAGATGTGTTGGAGAGAAACTTCTAATTATCCCACCAGAATCACAGGTCCATTTGGTGGGGATCAAGAGAGCATGGTCTCAGTGGCCATGCCCAGGATCTAGAACTCCTTCCAAAAACAGCTAGCTAGGTTTGTCACTACTTCCAGAGCCATTCAAAGAGCCATTCAAAGACCTTTAATTTTAATGAGGACTTCTCCAATTAAGGGCTCTCAATTACACAATTTCAGCTGGTGTACTGGTTTTTACTGTTTTAAAATAAAATACTATGACTGTTTTAAAAATAATTTTAATTAAATAATTTAAAATTTAATTTCAATTGAATTTTAATTTACTACGATTTTACTGTGTTCTTATTGTCTATTGTTTCAAACGGTTCTGTTAGCCATCATGGATCCCAGTTTCTGGAACAAAGGCAGCATTTAATGAAATAAACAAGGAAGGAATTGCAGGATCTCAGCTGATGTGCTGCTTTTCACTGTTTTCGGGTAAATTATTATCACTTTTAATAATTAAATGATTTTAAAGAGTCCCTTCCAGTTCTACAGTTCTATAATTTTATTTTGTGTTATCATCACATGCATCAATACCAATATTATTAATGGACAGACATATTTTGCTCTGGTTAATTCAGTGAAATATATTACTTTGGTAAACATGTACTGGGTGGCTCCTGGGAAATAATATACAGGCTCACCATCACAGCATCCAAGGATGACAGCGAACACAGTAAGTGCAATTTCTAATATCTCAGTGATTTGTGGCAAGCATGCACAACAAGATCCAGAGACTTAAGACACTAAAACAGTTACAGTATAGTACCCATAGTTCCTAGCAATTGCAACCAAGGTCCTCTCTCAACAGCTTGTAGAAGCCATGTTTACCATTCTTCTTGCTGAAATAATTTTGAAAAAAATGTGGGGGATCTCCAGGGAACCCCAAAAATCTGGAACATAATATTTTGCATCACACACAGACCTTGAAGGGGACTGGCTGTAATCTAAAATGCATTGAGGGGCTCTGAAAAATTGTTCATATATTAACCAGAGTAATTCTATAAGCAATATTTAAAATATTGTTTTAATTTTATTTATTTATTTATTATTTCAGCTTAATATACCACTTCCATTCGTGCTGTAGCACTAAACATAAAATGTATGTTTGTGAAGCAGAATTATTTTTTCCTACTATTTAGAGTTATATGTACAACATCAATACCCAGAAACACATTTAACTTTTTAATAGACAGATGGGCTTTACCAAGGGAATAATAAGTCATAAACTTCCAGATTTCTTCAAAGGTCCAAAATGTTATCACTATCAACTGTTCTTCACTGTGAATGGACAGTAATCTGGCAGACAGTTCCTAGGAAATGTAAAAAAAAAAAAATTGTGTGTTATATGTATCCAAAGCAGCCAGAAAGCCACGTTTGTATATAAAGAGAAAGAGACACAGAAGGAATTAAATCACAAGTTTGCCTCCAAGCAGTGGAGCTAAAGTGACAGACAAGAATAAAACGAAACCCTAGTGCACTGATAACTATGGCAACCAGCAATATCTGTATGTGCAAAGCTACCGCTGAAAAGGAGTGCCTTCTGCTTTGGCCACCCTGAGATGTAATAACTATATTATCCCAAGATTCCTTATACATACCTAGGGAAATTATCCTGAATTTTGCCCCAAATCCCGTGTTTTTGAAGGATCGGGAAGCCAACAGATTTGCTATTATGAGTGGCCAATAGACTGGTATACATTTATTATTCATGTCTTTCACATGTAACCATAAAACATACATTCAAATTCATTTTTTAAAAATACTGAGGTTTAGGAAATGTCACCACCAATCCTTCACATACCCTTTCTGAAGCCAGCGAAGGATATAGAGACTTATAGAGGCTTAATAAAATAATGAAAAATATAATAACAATGTTTAAAGCTAAGTTAAAGTTACATATCTTGATCATCTTCTTGAAGGCACAGAGAGTGGAGCGCTATCCAAAATTCCTAAAGAGTCTGGGGGCAAAACAGGGAAACCTTGCTTCTTGTCTGTGGGATAAAGCAGGTCTCTATAAGCAGTTGTATCTTCATCAGCAACTCTTCTTCTGGTCTTAAAAACTGGCCAGGTATCTCAATACATCCAAAGATCTTGCCTTCCTCCTGCTCTGCCTTCTGCCCACTGAAGCCCCTTTGAATGCCTATCCAGAATTCTAAAGAGGAAAGTTCAATACTAAGGCATTACTAGTCGTGGTAAATACAGTACCCCTCATTAGTATTTGTTAAATTTAACGTGGGATCTATACTCGACATTTGCACAAGGTCAAATGCTGGTGGCTTCAATGTAGTGGGGAATCTATTCCAGGTTTTAGCCTCAGTTTTAAAGAAGCTGCCCAAGGTGATGAATCTATTTTGGGGACAGTGTCCAACATCTTGGATATCTCTTGAAAAGTTCTCTCTAAAATCCAGTGCGGATTCACTGTCCGTATGACATCAGAACCACTAGCTACCACATTTTGCCCCTCTTTTAATTTAAAGAGGAAAACTTTCCACTAAGCTTTTTACTTCCTTGTTCTCTTTTCTTTTCTGACACTATTTTTGTTCATCTTTTTTTTTCACTCAGGAAGTCAGGGTTTAAAGGGACCCAAAAGGCATCCTGAACTTTGGTCCCAATTGTCACCTTTCTGTCCTCTCAATAGAGTTCCAGGAGAAGGAGACTCCCAGGGAAAATGCAGGCAAGGGAGGCAGACAAATTTTGGGTCCTCATTAAGACCGACTGCAGGACCAGTCTTATGGCTCAAGTAGGTTCACATGGGGGCAGGTGACCCTTCAAATGTGCAGATAACAGAATTTAGGGACTGCTGCATTACGCTGGTATTTGCATTCAAACATCATAGATGCTGTTATTTCAGTTTTCTTTCATTTAAATGTTTTTAAATTGACAGTTTTTTCTACCACACCCATACATAATTGAAGCTACCTGCCATTTCAGATGAAGGGCTAATTTGCCACTTGGGTCACAATTATTTGCTCTTTTCATTCAGTAGAGCTAGAGGTACACAGCAGATACTGCAGTGAAATGGCTACAGGGTATGTATCTTAAGGTAAAGAATAATCCAGCTTTCTATGGATGATAGATTAAAGCCCTGTTCACTCATCATCTCCAGTCTGCCTACATGACTCCTGAATCACACAAGGAGCCTACGCAAGTGTAGAAAGTTCTGCACAACAGTCATTTAGCATGAATAATTGTGGAAGACTGCAAAGACAGTATATGAGGAATCAAACAGACGGGTCAGCACCAATTCGTGTATATCCACTTCCTCTCCCTGTCGCCATGACTTAGCTAGAATGATGTCAGGTGGAATGTGGAAACAGAGGTATTAGCTTCCTAATACCAGGAACATATAGAAGCTTAATTTTGATCCAAAGACAATCACACTTAATTTAATCCAGCAATTACGTAAAAGTGACTTACGCTGAAAACTGCCCTGGCCTTCTGGTTGTCATTCTCCAGAAGACAGAGTCGTCGTCGCATATATTGCTGCAGGTGAGAGTCAGAAAGTCCAGTTTTACATTTTACCATTGTTATCTTCAAGGATAGATCTGAAAAACATGAATTTTATACACTCAGAATATGAGCTTATGAATCCACTTGTACCAAGTTGGATAGGTGGTGTATAAGCTTAAATATTAGTGGTGGGAGAGAAATACTCCAGAATTTGATTATGAACACTTGTCACATAGGAAGAAATTAATCAGAAAAGCAAAGGGAAAATGGGGAAAAAACTCACCCTTCTGCTGCTGTTGCATTGTTATTCCCTTGTTCACATGTGGCAATATAGGGTCTCTCATGTTGACTGGCAGAGATGTAGAATAAGATGTACTGTTTCTCAAGAGCTCTGAATTTTCTTCACAACTGGTCTTCTCATCTTGTTTTAGGTTTGAGGGAAAGTTATGGGACATTTTCACCTTTTTCACAACATCACACTCAGAAACATATTTGCTGGGAGGTTCATCTGCTGTTGCCATGGAGGATTCCATCTTTTACATGTGTAGCCAGTGCTATAAAAACACAGGCCATATGCAGGCCATATAATGCAGGCCATATAATGCAGGTCTGCTAGACTAGAGACAGAGTACCATGGTGAATATGAACAGCATCAGGAAACCCTTGGTTCAGATTTCACCCCTGCCATGAGCTCAATAACAGTCCTGGATAAGTCAGGTAAGTCTTCCAGCCCATATATCTCTCCCCATTTGCAATATGAGGCTTGTTAACATTACCTTGTTCTATAATGGGTTTGGTATGTGGCTTACAACTATCTAATGACATTGCTCCAAATATGTGGCAATGTTATACATATGGTATTTGTTGTGACTGTTGATATTTAAAATATCATAAGATTGAAACATTTTTTAAAAAAAATAATAACTTATTCATGTTCATGTCCAGCCAGAAGCCTTGATAGTTTTGACCAAACTTATCCCAAAATTCCTGTGTATCAGATTAGAGTCTTGCCAATTGCTAGTCACTAAGCAGTAGATACTTTTAGATTCAGTTCTGAGTAACACTGCCAACGATTATGCTATATGGGTGGCATCACATAATCAAGCACTAATGTGTGTGACAACATCCACCTCTTCAACAGAAAAGCAGTTGGGGAGAAGGCTGATGATTTCTTCTGCAACCTCTCCAATCAGCTATTTTCCCACAACAGATTTTCAAATTCACATTTTTCTTTATAAACACACATGGGTAGGAGTTTTTGTACCATGAGAGAGGCCTCCGTGGTGAGTAAGGGAACCATTACGCACACCCTTTTCCACAGTCACCATGGAAAAACCATTTTCTTATTTAAAGGCAACCATCAGGGTAAGGGCTCAGTTACACCTGGGGGTGGGGGGGTTTAAAATCAGGGATAGCATGTTTGAAATCAATTTTAAAAATTCCAACTGCATGACACACAGGGAAGTGTGGATTTACCGCCACCCCCAAAAGGCTTTTTTGTTTGTTTTTTGTTTGCCTGGAAAGCAAGATTTTTTTACTCAACTGCAAGAAAGTTGCTTATTTTAAATCACTTGTGAAATCATTTTATTTTCAAATGTTTTGGTATATATGAATGCCTCTTTTCAGTGTAAATTTTATCTTTGGGGTTTGTCAAAGAATGGATGCCAGGATTAAGGTTTCAGGCTGTAGGAAAATCTTGCAGTCCAATCTGAAAAGAGAACAAACAGACAGAGAAGGAGTGGATGGAGAAAAGCCCTCCCTCCTTCAGAAGCCCAGGAGCTGCTGATCTCTTTGACACTTACTGGTGTGCCTTTCCAGGGAATCTTTTGCAGAAAAGATGTCATTTTGTGCAGAACTGTAAAAATTCTATGAAGATTTGTGTTTCTTCTGAAAATGAGTGACACACAACATTGCAGAAATCCTTCAAGATTTCCTGCAAGATTACTTGGGAGAGGCTTGCACAGAGATATCTTGCTGTAAGGAGAAAAGAGGAGTCCCCCCCCCCCCCCGGTTGCCTGCTGAAAGTCAGAGGCTGTGAGATTCACATCCCCACATCGGGGCTTCATTACACCAAATGTATGTAGCTCTTTCCTAAACAACAATATGAACACACCTTTTAAAAATTATTTTTAAATTAGTTCTGGGAGGACGGATATCCATTAAGTCTTGCTGGCTGTATAGCCTAGAGCAGGGGTACGCAAACTGGGTTCCCCTGATGTTCCTGCACTGCAATTCCCAGAAGCATTCCTACATTCATTCCTGTACATTGCAGAATACATTCCATTCCATCTGGATGGGAGAAAAAATCCTGGGAAGATCTGTGCTTGGTAGGAAACTGAGAGTGGTATGGATGTCTCATCCCCAAAATACAAACTGTGTGAGCAAACTACCTAAAGAATTATCACTGCAATAGTAACTTGCCAATCATGGCAAAATGCTGGATTTATCCATATCTTACTATTACCAGTGTGGTGTAGTGGATATAGTGATAAACTAGGAGTATAGAGACCAAGGTTCAAATTCCCACTCAGGCATGGAAACTCACTGGGGGGAGTGGAACTGGTAAAACTACTCCTTAAATATCTCACTGACCTTAAAAAACCTATTTGGTTGCTATAAGTCGGTTCTGACTTGATGGCATAGAACACACAACACCATTATCAAATTAATTGTGGGGATGGGGAGGGGGAATTTAGAAGATTGCACAGTTTCTAAATGTTAAGACAAAAATAGAGACTTCCCGAATTTTATGACATGTACCAAAGTTTCTAGTGATTCTCAGAAGTGTTGAGATGGGTCTCCATACCAGAATGGTCATTTGTAGTTATAATCACTCTTGTATTATTGATGTTTTGGTTTTTGCCTGAATGTGTGCTGAACCTCGGTTTTCTACTCTTTTTTTTTTACATTGATCAGAAGAATGAGGGGGATAAAAATATATCTAGATAGATCTACAGTTGTCATGGAGATTATAATCAGTTGCAACTCACAAAGGGACCTTAGCATAAATATTGAAACCCCACAGAACAACCAGTCTGGAGGAAAGTCACCCCTGAATGAACACACACACCAACTCACGCATAAATAGGACTACCTACACTTGCTCAACCAGGGAGATAGTTGGGTCATAGGGCAGGTGGCATACCAGAGGAATCCTACTAACATCTGTGCAATCCGTATCCAGTGCCTGATCTCTTCATCGGGGAATGCATTTATGATAGACCACCATGATCCCACTGCCCATTATTTGCTTACTGCTGTACTCGGAAGCCTGCTTCCTCCAGCCAAATTTCTGTCACACCAGCCAGGTCAGTATGTTCTCCCAGAATCAAATGCTGGATTGTAATGATTTTACTGACCTAGCATTAAGCAGTATTAGTTTGAGACTCTGGGGTTTGATATGAATACATTGATACCCAGTGTGGTGTAGTGGATAGAGTGACAGACTAGGACTCAGAAGGCTGGTGTTCACATCCCTGCTAAAACTATGGAAACTCACTGAGGTGTGTGGAACTAATAACACCAATCCATAATATCTCACTTAACCTCAAAGCTCTATTAGGGTTGTTATAAGTCAGATCCAACTTGACAGCACATAAGAACAACAATCAAGACATTGATAGAACAGCATTGGCTGGAAACAGAAGAAGTGGGAACAGCACTGAGATGGTATAGTACAGTGATTAGAATGTGGGACTAGGGATAGATCTACATTAAAGTTATAGTAGCTTGATTCTAGTTTAAATGCCATGGCTTCATTATTAGATTCATAGTTTGGTGACATACATACAACCCATGAAATACAGTATATAGTGAATAGAGAGATTGACAAGGTGCCAAGAAACCTGTGTTCAAATCCCTGATCTGCCATAGAAATATATGGTGAGAAGGTAAGGTGAAACAACTCCTTGAATATCTCATGCTGAAAACCCTACTAGGGTAGTTATAAGTCAAGTGTAACTTGATGGCACACAACGAAAATGAGGTAGCTAGAGTTCTCTCCTACAGTTCAGTGGAGTGCACCAGAACTCTTTAGCAGAGTGCTCCACCAAACCACAAATCCAAGATTTCCATAGGATGGAACCACAGAAGCATCAAACTACATCGTGTAGATTCTTAGGCTAGAGATTCCTGGATTCAAATCCCTACTCCATTATAAAACTCACAGAGTGACCTTGCCCAAACACACTATCTCACAGTGGTTATTGTGAAAATAAAGTGGGAAGGAACAGAGCCATTTATACCGTCCTGAACTCTTTGGGGGTAAGATGGGGGGTGGGGTACAAGTCTAACAAATTTTTTTTAAAATATCTCATTTTTAAGCTGCCTCATTGTTCTGCTCCCATTGACCATTTCCCCTGTAAACCACCATGAAATGGTAGTACCTACTCTTTTCACAATCTTCCAGAACTCTCCAAAAAAAAAAACATGGTTCGTCCCTATAGGCAATATATCAAACTACCACTACTGATCACAACCTCATTGCACCAAACCACTGAGAAAATTAAAGTACAAGGACTGCTTGAAACAATAAACTAATTGGGTGGAATGGATAAATTATTTGAGGAACCAAATCATGCCAAAAACATAATTCTTCCTTATTATCCACCTTTCCTAACATCAACCTATCTGCAGAATTTCTAGTTTAGGAAGCCTGATGCTGACAATCTGTATGGGCAGCATTCTCACACCACAGGAGATTAGAAACTTGTCAATTTCCCTCTTTTTTCATTTTCTGTAGCACCAAGGTGGGGAAGAAATCAACAAGGCATGCATTCCAACTGGAGGAGGAGGAGGAGGAGGAGGGCTGATACAGCACTTATCCAAGTTTTAAAGGTGCTTCAAATATATGCTGCAGTTGTTACAATCTTGTAAAGTAGGTGTATATTTGTGATCCCCAAGTGGCATGACAGGCAGACTGAAATGGAAGAAATGCAGGCTTAACATTGTCCAGGAAATTCACTTGTTACAGTGCTGGAATTAAAAGGAGATTTCTCAGTTGGATCTAGGGTGTAATTCGACAACAAACACCTGCTTCTTTCTGCTGCTGCTGTTTACATGGGAGAGAGGTGGGAGGGAAGAAAAGAAGCCTTTTCATCCTTCCCTAGCTGCCATTTTCCCAATGCAACCCCTCTCCCAGCTATTTTCCCCCTTCTAAATGACCTACAGAGTACATCCTGAAACATTCACTTAAGCAATACAGCTACAGAAGAGGTTGCAGGGGAAATTCACCCGGCCCTTCCTCCCAGCATATCTCCCACACAAAGTGAACTGCTTCCAGCTCTTCACACATCAGAGGAGATATCTGGTTGGAAGCTTATGTTTGCGGCCTCATTCTGTTAATCACCACACTCTGCCAGCTCTCATTTTGACCTACATTGAGGGGAATGTAAAACAGAGGGAGAAATGGGAAAGGGCTGACTTGAGATTCTCAAGAATTTATTCTGTGCAAACTCCTGTGTTATAGTAGAAGAGCTCATTTTTACATAAATTTGCAGTCTTTCCCAAACATATTTTAAACTTTTGGTTTTTTTTTTTAAAAAAAAAAAACATG